TACAATATATGAGCAATGATTCTACAAATCAAGGTGACATTATCTCTTTCTAGAATTAATATTAATTAAAAACTGTACTGTTAACACAACTGGCTTTCTTAGTTTAATATATTACAGAATCTTTTAGTGATGAATAATATGTACACGTGAAGTTATACACAGCAAGGAAATCTCTAAATATGTATTCTACTGTAGAGATGCAAACGAGTTGAAATATTAAATTGAAATGAAGTCCTTCTATTAATAGCAATGAGTTGACATGAATGTTTCAATGGCCTATTTTAGATATGTGTCTGGTACTTAAGCTTGTAAATGTCGCCAAAGTGCTTGTTGTCTCTTGTTACTAAATGCTGCTGCATTTCAAATTCCTGCAGTAAACCTACATAAGAGGTCTAACCCATAAAGCTTTTGCTGCCAGCATTTACTTCCATACAAGGAGATGAAAACAGGTGGCATTTTGCCCAAGATCTTGCTCAAAATAAGTTTCAGCCAAAGGAAAATGAACGTTCTGCAGCTGCCTCATTTTATCAAGGCTGCCAACTGCTTAAGATGGATCCTTATGTCTCTTGTAAAAGCTACATTTTGATCTAAAACTAATCATTAAATCCAAAAACATATTCATACATTAATGAAGAAAATGAGAATACTTCCTCAAAAAACATTAAAACAAACAAACAAAACAAAAATTTTGTGTAGACTAAGTTGAAGTGGTCCACTGTTTTCTTATTAGAGTGACCTGCTATTGATGCAAAACTACTCTGTTCATGTTTTTAGGTGGTCAACCTTGGTCTGGTGTCATGTCTTAGTATCAAATGTGATAATAGAGCTTGTGTGTTCATATTGTAAACACAATTCCCCTACTAAAGCAGTTTTTATGAACAGGTAGTAATCAGTTATTTTAAACCTTAAGAAAGACTTTTGGACAAATACAAACTGCAGTCAGATGAGGTCAAAGGCAGTGCTCAATAGCTTACCACCACCCCCCTTTACTTAATTTCTTTGTTTGATATCTGAAACTAATACCATACTTACATTAATAATGTTTTGCTCCAAGGAGCCATATCACCTGCTGTCATTCACACATTCTGGGTTTTGCATGTGTATAAAAGAATAAACTTTTATGTATTTGTGGTGTGGATTTCTTTTGCTCCTAGCATTACGTGAAATGTTTTCCTGTCCCCATGCACTTCCTTTAGAGGTATACAAAAGTGCTGTGAAATCAAGAACTCCCCTTCATGATAGCCCACCAAGCAGAGAAGATTAAAGGTCATTGAAAGCATGCATGGAGATTTTATTCTGTCCTAAGACTCCGGGTCAAGCCTTGGTTTCTTTCCATGAGACATGGCCTTGAATGACTTGGCAACACAGAGTATACTGCTTGTGACATCTCAAATAGGGCATTGCTTGGGCTTAGCTAAGATCTGAGCCACTAATATGCTCCTTGTCTTGTATATTCATGGGAGGGAGATAAACACCATTATATTTACATTTTGTTTTCAAACTTAATTTAAGTACATTTATTTTATAATCCTCCATAAGTGTATCATTAAATCTATTTTAGGCATTTGCTGGGGAATACAAATTTGACTCAGACTCACTATCAAAACACAGCTGATAATTTGTGCTGATGCACACATTGCACAGTGTGCAAACAAGTGGGTCAGTGTCATGGCAGATATTACTGGGTGTCCCAATTTGTACTATTATTCAAAAGGATTACATTCAAATTTAAAAACATAAATTAACAAAATAAGTTTTTGACATGTTATCATTTGATCTACAAAAGACTTGCTTTCCCTTCATTTAAACAAGATGTTATTCAAAAATAAAATGACAAGCTTCTGAGAACCATTGAGAATTCAAATTTTTATTGTTACAAGAAATATTCCCAAACAACCAGTTCATATTTTATAAACTCCGTCGAATGGAATGGAGTAGATGATGACTCTTACTCTGCAGAATCCGACTGGAAAAGAAATGCACAGAAACAAATTAGTTATAAGAGTTCAAAATTAGGTTTGTATTTACTAATTAAAAGGTATGGTGGAGGATTTTCGCTAATTTTTGAAAAGACCTGCCCACTCCATTTAAGAAAAAAAAATGGAAATGCACTGTACCCGCACCCGAGAGGTAATGCATATTAAATGTGTGTGAGAGCGTGCACAAGACCATTACTCCTTGTACCCGCTCTGTTTACAAGTTGCTGTTTGCTTCCCTCATACAAGCTTACTTTCCAAAAGAAGACCTGAAATTTTTTCAGTGTGTCTGACTCACCACCAGTACGTGAAAATGGGGAAGAGCCTGTAGAACGGCCTCACTTATATCACCAGAATGACTGACAAGAAGGAGGACCACTTATTTTGATGATCCACCCAGAAAAAGAAGATCCCCCACAATACCCTTAACTAAACATGGTGTCATTAGAAAATACATATCATTGTTAAAAGTTAATAATGCTACCTTTCCAGCATCACGGCTCTTGACTCTGAGCTTGTTGACCTGTGACTCAGCAATGTCAGCGCGCTCCTGAGCTTCCTCCATCTCATGCTGGACCTTCCTGAGCCTGGACATGTGGGTGTTGGCCTGCTCCTCCTAAGATATAAATGTTTAAAACTTTAAAACACATAAACTTACTCTTTTCCATGAATTTTTGTACTTTGTTTCATTAAATAATTTAAAATAAAAGCTTTAACTTACAGCCTCCTCAGCCTGTCTCTTGTAAGACTTGACCTTGAGCTGGAGCTTGTCTACCAGATCCTGAAGTCTGACTAAATTCTTCTTGTCCTCCTCAGTCTGCAGATTTTAGAAAGATATATTGTAGGTACTGACAAAAAGAAAAGCAAATTTAGTGCAGCTTTATAAAAAGCTAGACATTACCTGGTAGGTCAGCTCCTTTACTCTCCTTTCATATTTGCGGACTCCTTTAACAGCATCAGCTCCACGTCTCTGCTCTGCCTCAACCTCAGCCTCCAGTTCACGAACCTTTTTTAGTGATTATAAGAAGAATATGCCTTTAGATTTGGATCAGTGAATGTCAAATGATTTTTTTTCTCTTTAACTTAAATAATTTGAAAAGTTTTGAAGTTCATACCCTGTGCTCCAGTTTCTGGAGCTGCTTCTTGCCACCCTTCATGGCGAGGTTCTCAGCCTCATCCAGGCGATGCTGCAGGTCCTTGACTGTGACCTCCAGGTTCTTCTTCATCCTCTCCAGGTGGGAACTGGTGTCTTGCTCCTTCTTCAGCTCCTCAGCCATCATGGCAGCCTGAAATGATGGTTAATCATGAACAGACACAAAAGTTAAATTATAGAATACAATATATACAATAGAAATGGATGAAATTGTATGTTTTCTTATATGTAAACTGACATCAGTGATGGCCTTCTTGGCCTTCTCCTCTGCGTTTCTTGATTCCTGAACAGCATCGTCCACCTCGCCCTGGACCTGGACCAGATCAGCCTCAAGCTTCTTCTTGGTGTTCAGAAGGCTGGTGTTCTGTATATTTTAGAAATCAGAATGTGAAAGTTACCTTGTTTTTCCTCTATAGATCTTTGAGGTTTTGCAAATTGATAAAAGCCAAACCTGAGAGTGAAGCAGTCCGACACGCTCACTGGCATCAACCAACTCCTGCTCAGCTACTTTGCGTGATCTCTCTGTCTGCTCCAGAGCAGCTCTCAGCTCCTCAATCTCAGCAATCATCAGACCGTTCCTGCGCTCCACCATGGCTACCTGCTCCTTCATGTCCTCCTGTCCTCTGAGGGCATCATCAAGGTGTAGTTGAGCATCCTAAAGATAAAAGTGTTTGTTAAAAATTGTTTTAACATTTTAAAGTCTTTAAATGTTAATTTACCACCAAACTCACCTTGAGTTGTCCCTGGACGTTCCTCAGTTGTTTCTGGGCCTCAGCAGCCTGCCTGTTGGCATGGCTCAGCTGAATCTCCATCTCGTTCAGATCTCCCTCCATCTTCTTCTTGACTCTCAGGGCATCATTCCTGCTTCTGACCTCAGCATCCAGAGTGCTCTGCATGGAGTCAATGACTCTCTGGCTGTTTCTCTTGATCTGCTCCATTTCCTCATCCTTCTCTGCCAGCTTCCTGTCAATCTCACCCTTAACCTGGTTGAGCTCCAGCTGGACACGCAGAATCTTGGACTCTTCATGTTCCAGAGTGCCCTTAAAGGTTTAAAACACAAAGCCTTTGACTATTTTACTAAAAAAAGGTCATCTTAATATGTATGTTGTTTGAAATATGTAATTCAAATGGGTTAGTAAGCAGTAATAGAGGTTTTACCTCAGCTTCCTCTAGTGCAGCCTGAATTTCTGACTTCTCGGTTTCCAAAGTCTTTTTAGCTTTCTCCAGCTCATGAATGCTCTTTCCAGTCTCTCCAATCTGTTCAGTCAGATCTGAGATCTCCTCTGCAATTATGAAATAAAATAAGTTACCTTAAAAAACACACCTTTCAATATTCTTCAGTCATTGTTCTTTCTCTTCCCTCCTGATAACCAGTATTACTGTTTCAGTACTGCATGAACTATATCTGAAAAATTATATTGCGTGATTCTTTTTATCTAAGAAAGACGTACGCTGCAGATTCTTGTTCTCTCTCTTCATGGTCTCCAGCTGATCTAGAGCCTCTTCATAGGAGTTCTTCATCTTGAACAGCTCAGTGCTCATAGAGCGAGCCTCCTTCTGGGCTCCTTCAAGCTCAGCCTGGCTCTCCTCGTACTTCTGCTTCCACTCTGCCAGGACCTGGAAATGTGAAAATGTATTAAAAATGTGCTGCTATTTGCACAAATATGCTTATCCTGTAGAATCTCTGTACCTTGTCAAAGTTCCTCTGCTTCTTGTCAAGGTTGGCAGCCACAGAATTGGCTCTCTCCACATCAATCATCAGGTCCTCCACTTCACCCTGGAGCCTCTGCTTGGTCTTCTCCAAAGAGGCACACTTGGAGTTCACAGCCTCAATAGACTCCTCAGCATCTTGCAAGCGCTGGGCAAGCTTTTTCCTGTAGTGAAAATGTGTTAATTGGTCGAGACAAACAGTAAAACAATGTTATTTCCTCAACAAAGCTGTATTTTGCCTCACTTGGCCTCCTCCAGCTCCTCGGTGCGCTGGATGGCATCAGTTTCATATTTGGATCTCCACTGAGCCACCTCACTGTTGGCCTTAGACATGCCTCTCTGCAGCTCAGCCTTGGCCTCCTGCTCCTCCTCAAACTGCTCCCTGAGCAGATCACAGTCATGGCGGGCTGACTGAACAGCATGGGCCAGGGCATTCTTGGCCTGTAAAATAGACAAAGTTTAGGGTGGGTATATTTGTTTATTGACCTTATCACATACATCTAAATGATGTAAACATCCCATGATCATCAACTTCCATACCTTGACTTCCTCCTCAATGTGTCTCTTGAGCTCCTCAATCTGCTGAGTGAAAGCCTGCTTGCCTCTTGTCAGCTGAGAAACAAGAGCTTCTTTCTCCTCAAGCTGCCGACTAAATTCACCTATGAAAATCAAGAATATAATATTTAGGAGACCTTGTAAACAATATGTGACACTGGTTTGAGGTTAGGTCAATTACCATTTTCTGTCTGGAGTCTTGCTTTATGTGCATTAATGTCATTCAGCTGGCGGACATTCTCATCATTCTTAGCTTTGATTTCACTCAGTTGGTCCTCAAGAGTCCTGCACATTTTCTCCAGATTTCCCTAAACCATAAAAGTAGATTTTTTTTTAGACATTTGGCGAAACCAAAAGAAAACAATTCTAAAGATGGATAAATTTATCTCTCACCTTTGCTTTGGCAACAGCCTCCATGTTGCTGGACAGATCATCAATCTCCATCTTGTACTCGCTCTTCTCCTTCTCCAGCTTCTGCTTGACACGCTGCAGATTGTCGATCTGCTCTCCAAGCTCAGCAACGCTGTCGGCCTGCTTCTTGCGAAGAGCTGCTGCGGTGGATTCATGCTGCAGGGTGGCTTCCTCAAGATCACGGCGCAGCTTCTGGAATTCAGCCTCACGCTTCTTGTTCATCTCAATCTGAGCAGCTGTGGCTCCACCAGCCTCCTCAAGCCTCTCACTGATCTCCTCAAGCTCCCTGGAGAGGTCAGCTCTCTGCTTCTCTACTTTAGCCCTAGCAGCTCTCTCAGCCTCAATCTCCTCTTCCAGCTCCTCAATGCGGGCCTAGAATTCAAGGGGAATGGA